ACATCACTTAGTATATTTGTTAAGATAACATAAAATGTTTATTTATCTTGTTACAAATAGTCTTAATACAGTAACGGTACTTAGAAGTTTTTGTTGTCCAACACAATTATTTTATATAATTGGTTCTGGACAAACTTCTAAACATAAAACTTTGTTTATATATATACAAGAAGAAAAGAAAAAATAAAAGGAGAAAAAAAGGTGAAACCCCCTCTTTCACTCCGAACGAACAATCGTAAAATAGAGTTGGTTAGTGTATAAAGCATCACACTGAAAAGTTGTCATCAGTCAACATATGTTAGTATATAAAACTTTGTCTTTTGGTCAAAGAAACATCATGCTCTCCTTTCCAAAAAAAGAAAAGAAAAGAAAGAAACATCATGCTAGAAAGTTGTTATAGATTGCCTATAAAATTATGCTCAAAATGGTATTTAAAAAGTTATGATAAAAATTTTGGTGATAAATTTGTCTATAAAATTAAATCAAGAACTACATTTAAAATATTATGGTAATAAGTTTGGCGGGACTGGGACAGCCGTTGTCTGGTTTGTTGTTGAGCCAATGATCGATACTAGTCTATGATGGAATTGGGGTCTAAACGACCAAACCCGCGAAATCAACAGGCCAGTTGGGGCCCAGAACGATTCAGTTGGGCTTGATGGGCCTCATCGAGTGACATGCCGGGCATCCTGGACCTCTTTATTCTGTTAGCGCTTTTTTCTTTTCTTTTTGAAACAAATTCTGCTAAGTATTTTGGGCTTAATCTCTCTCTCCTTTTTTTGCTGATGACTATTGAGCCTTGTCCTTTGAACCCAATGAGCCTGATTCTTCTTTCCTGGACAAGAAAGGCCTGGCCAATACCATAGCAAAATGCGTATTGTTGGAGTGGATTCGATTTAAACAGGACAAAGTGCGGCGATGCCATCCGTGTACGCCGACAGAGTGCTCTCAGAGCGGTGGACCGACCCGCCGACGGTGACGATCAGGTAGGACGTCCATGCACCATCCGGTGCACGGCCGCACTCGCCACCACACGCGAATTGAAATTCGATCGCCGTCTCTCCCCTGGCAGGCGACAGCTCCCCGCCCACTTCGTCTTGCGCGAGCCGACCATTGTATTTGTAATTTTGTATCTGAATGATCAAAAATTTTCCATGGACTGCACCGTGGCGATCGCGCGGGATCAGCGAACGTGTAAAACTAAACCGGCAGCAAAATCCACCGCTGCACCGTGTCTAAACTACTCTCCGCCGTCGGAGTAGTTCGCTAACGCCGCTCAGCAAATGCAATGCAGGCGCACCGCCGCGTAGCACACTGCTGTAACCCAGTGGCTTGATTGAATTGAATAACAGCAGCTGAAACGTGGCCTGGCTGTTTGTGCGTTAAACAAATCAGATGACCCCTCCGACGGCGGATCCAACCACTCGCCGACACAGTGGTTGTGGCATTCGCGCCGACAAAACACACCGGAGCAAGCAAAGCACCATGCATCGTGAAAGCAAAAAAGGCGAGATCCTCCTCTTTACATTCACTAAAGAACGCGACCACAAAATGTATAAGTACTCATGGAGTAAATTGCATCTCAGATAGCACTGAAGCAGTGGAAACTAAATTTAGCAAAAGTCAGCAGCAGAGAAAGGTAATAAATCGAAAAACAAAGGAAAGGCCGGAGGTTAAGCAGGCCTAATTTTTTACTATTTGACCTTTTTTTCGAAGAAAATTTATATTTTGTCCTCTGGGAGACTTAAATTCATCTTTGGACTCTGGGGTCGGCGCCGTGTGTCCTGACGCCGAGGTAACACACTTCGGTGCCACAGATCTTGGAGCCGAGGTGTCTGACCATGCACAGTAGAGAATCCTACGTGGCGTTGACGTGGTCGATACCTCGATATCAGAATATTCGACACCGTAGATCTTGACGCCGAGGCGTCAACGTATTATGGCGTCGAGAATGACGCCGAGGCGTCAACGTATTCTGGCGTCGAGAATGTATTCAAAGCGTGGGGTGGGTAGCAGCAATAGCAGGGCCATGTTTAGTTCAGCACCGATTCGGCGCTGCCGGAAAAACCGAACACGGTAGATACAATGTAGCGTTTTGTTTTTATTTGGTAATAATTGTCCAATCATTGACTAATTAGGCTCAAAACATTCGTCTCGCAAAATACAACCAAACTGTGCAATTAGTTTTTTATTTCGTTAATATTTATACTCCATGCATATACTGTAAGTTTGATGTGACGGGAAATCTTCTTTTTGTATAGTGACAAATTCAGGAACTGGGGAACTAAACATGGCCCTGAGCGCCTGGGCGAGCCTTTACTCTGTGCTGTCACCGCCACACGCCCCGGTGGCCGGGCGTTCATCTGTTATCTGTGCTGTGGTGCGCCTACCTCTCGGTCCGTGCGCGGAAGCGAGGTGCGGTGGTGCGCATGCACCATGCCATGCAGCAGTTCGACCGGATGAACAGCACCAAAAAATCAAAGGCAGTGCCTAGGGCTCGGGAACGTGGGATGCATGCAATGGACAGCAAGGTGGCGTGGCGGTCGTCGTCGTCAGAGCCTACGCCTGATGGAGCCTCACTGACTGACTGATTGACAGGGAGGGAGAGAGACAGGCAGATCATGCAGGCCTTGCCCGATGCATGGTTGACGACCGGACACCGGACACGGACAGAGACGCGCGCGACCAGGGTTCAAAATTTCGGCGAAATTTTGGCATAATTTTATGAAATTCGGTAATTTTGATGGTGGCAGAAAGAAAACTCCGAAATTTTTTAATACACTAATACATGTGCTATATAACTCTAATCTTATATTTTTCTATTGTTTATATTGCATATTCTTCTATTTAAAAGATATGTAGTCATAAATCATACTAATATTTGTTTAGATCTAATTTTTTTTAGAAAAAACATACTTCATGTGCTAATCTCTAAAAAAATTTCGGCGAAATTTCAGCCGAATTTCACGAAATTCGGTAATTTCGGTGGTGGCCGAAATTTTGGCGATACCGAAATTAAAAACCTTCCGCGCGACGCGGCAATTCTTTTGACCTAGCTTGCAGCTAACTAGCTGCTAGCTGTTGGGGGTTCAACTTCAACTGCCCTCCTGTACGTTGCTTCCTGCCGCCATATTTTATTGCAAAAAAAGTTGTGAATTGGGCACGCAATGCTCTTCTTCTTCGATTCTTCTTCTTGCTTGGCTTGCATTGCAAAGAAGAGGGATGTCCATGTGCAGATGCATGATTATAATGTGAATGTGAACCAAACCAACAGTAGTGCTACTTAATTAACAATGGATTTAGTATGCCCATCCGCGTACACGTACATCCATCAGCTGCTACTAGTAGTATATACATATTCCAATCCATCCGTCGTCGGTTTGCTGGGCATAGTTAAATGATGATTGTTTACAGGTAACGTCTCCACGTTAGGTCCTGTTTAGTTCCAAAAATTTTCATCTTAAAATATCACATCAAATCTTGCGGCACATGTACGGAGTACTAAATGTAAACGAAAAAAAACTAATTGCATAATTGGGTGAGAAATCACGAGACGAAACTTTCGAACATAATTAGTCCATAATTAGACACTAATTACTAAATACAAACGAAAATGCTACAGTAGCCAAACCTAAAATTTTTTGCCAACTAAACGCGCCCTTAGTTTGACGACTTGGCCGGAGGCCGAAAAGCTCGGCAAACTATACTCGCTGACGCTGTGTGTGTTCATGGCTTCCACACACTAAGGAATAGGGATACCAAGGAAAGCTTACTTACAAATTAAACTATTCTAATTAAGCATTGATTGTTGATAGGATGGCATGTTGCTTCACATTGCCGTTTAGCAGCTGTTAGGCGTTTGCATTGGCATTGGCATTGGCATTGGCTTCCGTGCACAGTAGTGTGACTCTGAAACAGAGACGTTGGGGTTTGCGTTTTTTTTTTTTGGGTCCGCAAGATTCCTCGCCCTTGTTTAGATTGGTTAGGAATCGGTAATGGGTACTGTAGCACTTTCATTTTAATTTGATAATTATTATTCAATCATGATCTAACTAGGCTTAACTAGGCTCAAAAGATTTGTCTCGTAATTTACAATTAAACTGTGTAATTAGTTATTTTTTATCTAAATTTAATACTCCATGTATATGTTCAAAAATTTAATATAATAAAAGAGAGTAAAAAAACTTGCAATCTAAACGAGACCCTGGTCGATCATAGAGTTGTTAACAAATGAATGACAAGGCTAGCTGGTGGATCGACGCAAATGAGAAAATTGTGCTCCTACTTGAACGCGTCGCAATGTCGCATACACTGTGATGGTGACAGCAGAGAGTAAAGGCTCGCCCAGTTCTGCTACCCACCGCATCTACTACCCACCGCACGCTTTGAATGCATGCTCGGCGCGAGAGTATATGGCGTCGAGCTCCGCCACGAGATCCACGACGTCGAGCTCCACGCCATATATTCTGTCGTCGAGATATCGGCCACGTCAACACTACCTAGGATTTTCTGCTGTGCATGGTCAGACATCTCGGCGTCAAAATCTGTGGCGCCAAGACGTGTTATCTCAGCGTCAGGACTCATGGTGTCGACCTCCAGAGTCCGAAGATGAATTTAAGTCTCCCAGCCAAACCTAAATTTTGTTTAAACAAAAGTCAAATAGTAAAAAAAATTAGGCAGGCACGTAACACACATGGCAGCTACCCGGCGACAATCCAAGAGCCGAGAGGGGTGCGTGCTGACAGGCTGGTATCCTGTTGCCGTCGCCTCCGCCACGTTCCGTTCGACCTCTCCTCTCCACCCACCCCAACAGCGGCCCCACCAGTCACCACACTAAAAGTGATCCAGGAAAATGGTGGACCATTCATATCCTGTGCGCGTGCATGCATATGTTCGCGCAGGCGCACCGTCGCTAGCTAACTTAGCATTATTTGACCGGGGCACGCACAATGGATGCGCCTACCGAGGGACGCCGGTCATGGGCTGCAGCGTTCGGCGACATGGCGAAGCTCATCCCCACTCTACCCCTCGAGACGAGATGCCCACCGTTCCCGCTCCGTCAGCTCAGCGGCTTCTGGCTCCCGGAGATGATCCTGTCCGGCGTGGCCGCCGTGCACACGCGCTTCGAGCCGAGGCCCGACGACATCTTCCTCGCGAGCTTCCCCAAGTCCGGCACGACGTGGCTCAAGGCGCTCGCCTTCGCCACGCTCAACAGGGCGGAGCACCCGCCGTCGGACCCCGGCCACCCGCTCCGCCTTCGAAACCCCCATGACTGCGTCAGCTTCTTCGAGCTGCCCTCCGCGCTCTCCGAGAGCACCGGCGGAGCATGGGAGGACGTGTTCGAGGCGCTCCCTTCGCCACGGGTGCTCACCACCCACCTGCCCTACAGCCTCCTGCCGGAGCGCGTCGTGGCGGACAGCTGCAGCTGCCGCGTCGTGTACGTCTGCCGGGACCCCAAGGACGCGCTCGTCTCCGGGTGGCTCTTCACGAAGAAGCACACGGCCGCCACCGCCAAGGGAGCCGGTGGCGACGACGACGATGTTCCGCCGACGTACCCGCTCCAAGACGCTTTTGACCTGTTCCGTGCGGGCCGCAGTGGCTCCACGTCCTCGGGTATTGGGAGGAGAGCAGGAGGCGGCCGGACAAGGTGCTCTTCCTCCAGTACGAGGAGATGCTCCGGGACCCCGCGACCAACGTGAAGAGACTGGCCGAGTTCATGGGCTGCCCGATTACCGTGGAGGAGGAAACGGCGGGCACGGTGGACACCGTTGTTGAGCTCTGCAGCCTGGACAGTCTCAAGCGGTCGAAGGGGAACCGGAGCGGCACGACGAACCTTGGCATCGAGAATGCGTCCTTCTTCCGAAAAGGCGTGGCCGGGAATTGGCGCAACCACCTGACACCGGAGATGGCGGCGCGGCTGGACGAGATCGTCGACGGCGTGCTGCAAGGGTCGGGGCTCACGTTTGGTGGCTCCGCCAACGACAGCTGGCTATCAGAGGTCACGACAAAATCGTCGGGGTCGGCTGACCCCGATACCTCAACGTAGCTTCGCCCCTGCCACAGCACCCAGAGGCCAGAGTCCACAGACACCTACTTACCTTGCGCGCCAAGGGCCAACGCGCTAGCGAGCTTACTTGATCCGTCCTAATTTTTTACAATTTAGCTATTTTTAATAAAATTTACGTTTAGCTCCCTCGGAGACTTAAACTCATCTTTATACCCTAAGAATCGGCGTCAGGACTCATAACGCTGAGGAGGTAACACGTCTCGACGTCACAGATCTTAGCTCTGAGGTGCCAGACCGAGCACAACAGGACATTCTAAGTGGCGTTGACGTGGCCAGTACCTCGACGCCAGAATACATATATCGGTGTTTTGGACCGGCGGGTCCTCAACCAACGAGTGAAAATATACTGCGTGTCCCTATCCCGAATGGTGATGCAAAGAGACACAAGGTTTATACTGGTTCAGGCAATAGGTGCCCTACATCCGGTCTGGGAGAGCGATCTTGTATTCCTTGCACCGAGGTGCTCGTAGTAGGGGTTTACAAGCAGGGCGAGAGAGGGAGTTAGCCCCAGGTCTCTGCGTAGAGCGACGTGAGTTGCTTGAGATGTTGATCTCTTGCAGTGAGGGAACGTGCGTATTACAGAGTGTTGCTCGTTGCTTGCGTGTGTGTCTATCTGAGCGATGTCTCCGTGAGTGTATTGAGTGTGTGCCCCTCTTCCCCTAGGGGCGGCCCTGGTTACTCTCTTTTATAGTCGAAGGGAGGTACAGGGGTGGTACATGTGTTTGCTACGTGGTGCTCTTTTTTGGCAGAGACGGCATGTCCGAGCCCTGTAGCTTGTCACTGTGGCGGTATGGTCGGTGGAGCGGACTTGTACTCGGTGCACTAAAGTGACGCGCCGGTCACGCCCGTTCCTATGGTGGTAGGAGCGCCTTCTTCTGTCGGAGGCGAGCTGGTTACTGTAGATTTGACTGGTGCGGAGTGCCGAGGCCGGGTTGATGCGATGGTGCGGGTGCGCTGATTCCGAGGCTACAATAGCTAGGCCTTGTGTGCGACGTGGGGGCTCCTGCAGCCTGACGCAGGGTATGGCGCGTTCTGCGGGCGACGTGTCGGTGCAAGAGTGTTGACAACGTAGAGAACCGAGGCCCAGTCGATGCAGAGGTTGAACCATCGTGGGGGGCTCGGCAGGCACCAGTCCCGAGGCTACAGGAGCCCGGAAGCGGATAGTCGAGGCTCGGAGGGAGCAGTTGGTCTTGTTCGTTGATTCCAAGGCTACAGGGACCTGTACTTGACTTTCCACGCCGCGCTGTCCTTGGAGCAATGGTTAGGCAGCACAGTGCAGTACGGGCGTCAGTCGTGGGCACAGTGCCGAGTACAGCGGCCGGTGACCCCCGCCCCGTCCTATCCCGGATGGCAGGGCGTTGATGCGACTTCCGTCTTGTCAGTTACTCTGTTGCACTGTGCCGTCGTGCGGCTGACGATGCGGGAGTGGTTGGTTGCGTTAGTTTGGACGTGACGTCTCGGTCGAGGTGGCGGTGACGGGGTAGCTGCCGAGCCAGCCTCGGGCGAGGGGGCCTTGGGCGAGGCGGAGATGTGGTACCTTGTCCAAGGCCTTTCGGGCGGGGCCTCGGGCGAGGCGGAGAATTGGCCGAGGCCCCGTGGTTGTCTCTTGGCTTCGATATTTACAAGGTCTAAGTAATTTTTTCGGTTCTTGCTTAGGGTACCCTTTTTTATGGTATCCGACAACATAACGCCGAGATCGCCGCCACAGATCTTGGCGTCGAGCTCGGCGCCACAGATCTTGCCGCTGATTTGTTTGCTCGCGGTTCTCCCCGGGCCTGTCTTTCGGTTAGACATGACATGCTCTGACATTACGTTAAGACCCCGTTCGCTAGTCTGAATTTTAGCTGAAACTGGCTAAAAATATTGTTCCGACTAAATTATTATAAGAGAAAAATACTGTTCCAACTACCAAACAAGCCGAATAAGTCGAACGGGCCTAAACCGTTCATTTCTTTGACACCCCTGGTAGACCCGCGTTACTACTCGCTCCCGGCACTGTGGTTTCACAGTGTCGCCGTACAGCACTCTATCTTAACAGATGCGCGGCAGTGCGGCACATGGATCCACTAACCGCACCAACAAAGCACACCATTCATGCGACAAGCCTCCTCCGGTCCTCCCTCTCACAGTCACAGACCAAAGCAAAGCCGGGCTAGCAAGTACTAGTACTCCGTAGGTAGCATAGCTAGCTAGGCACGTTAGACTGTCCACAGCCTTGTGCGGTGCTGAAAATAGATCCGTACATGCAAGTGGGTACCGATGCTAAGACTCATATCTACCCACAATGTCAACACCGGTGCTTCATTTGTGTGAGCCACCAATAGCCATGCCATGGAGGCCAGCAGCCAGCACCAGTTGCATACTTGCATAGTAGATAGGTGAAGAATACACTTGTTTATTCTTCTAGCACCAGTAAACCTACATGCCACGGTGCTTGATTTTTTTAACTTGACATCACACTCTACAATGGTATGAACCGATGCTTTATCTCTCTCATAATTCAGCACCGGTAAAACCCAACGCCGTGGGCAGTCTTAGGCCGTCCCAACAAGGGACTCGGAGCTAGCCAGGAAATCTCGTCGCTAGCGAGTATCATCTCGCTAGGCTCACACGCACCCCAGTAAGGCACGCATGAATGGGCCGCATGCCTGCATAGCATCCTAGTAGATACTAACGGGCGCGTATAGTTGGCAAAAAAATTTTGGTTTGGCCACCGTAGCATTTTCGTTTGTATTTGACAATTAGTGTCTAATTATGGACTAATTAGGTTCGAAAGTTTCGTCTCGTGATTTCTCACCCAACTGTGTAATAAGTTTTTTTTCGTCTATATTTAGTAATCTATCCATGTACCGTAAAATTCGATGTGACACTTTAGAGTGAAAATTTTTGAAAACTAAACAGAGCTGCATTGCTTCTGACCGCATGGCCCGTCTCCATGGCTGTCCTAATATTTTTTTCCATTCTTTATTTGTACACTACGTCACGTGAGCTGGCGATTTGTCCTCGTCATTGAGGACGGCCTTACGTAGCACAGTAGCAGCGCATCTCACCAGCTATCAGCTAGGAGCACAGGTTCCTGTGTTAAGAAAGAGTGCTGCGGACTGTACGTAGCTATTGTAGCACCGATCTCGGCGCCATGTATTCTGGCGTCGAGATACTGGTCACATCAACACTATCCAGGATGTCCTCCTGTGCTCGGTCAGGCACCTCGAAGCTAAAATTTGTGGCGCCTACCTCGGCGCCATGAGTTCTAACGCCGACGTCTAGGGTTTAAAGATGAGTCAGAAACAAAACGTAAATTTTGTTAAAAAAAAGACCAAATTATAAAAAAATTGGGTTGATCCGTTTCCTTCGCCGCGACGTTCCTACCAAGCTGCTGGCGCCGGCCGCGTGCACTGCCGCACGGCAGCTCGCTCGCTCCGGTTACGACACAGCTACCACCACCCCACCAATGTCGCCGCGGCTGCTGGCGTGCTTCGGGCGCAGGGGCGTCTGCGTCGGACGACGCGACGGGCGAGGGCCAGCAGCAGGAGGCGGCGCCCCCCGGGCCTGGTGCTGGTGGAGCTGTTCGCGTCGCAGGGGTGCGGGGCGTCGCTCGAGGCGGACGCCGTGGCGGCGCGGCTGGCGCAGGACTCCGGGGACGGCGGCGCCGCCGTCGTGGTGCTGGCGTTCCACGTCGACTGGACCCCTTCGCGTCCAGCGCCTGGACCGTGCGCCAGAAGGCCTACGTGGAGGCGCTCCGCCTCGACACGCTCTTCACGCCGCAGGTCGTCCTGCAGGGCCGCGCCCACTGCGTCGGCACCGAGCAGGACGCGCTCGCGCAGGCCGTCCGCGACGCGCCGCGCTACCCCGCGCCCGCCATCAAGGTACGTAATTACTACCCATTTCTTGCACAGCTACCTAGCAGCGTCGATCGGGCATGTCCGATCTTGTTGCCACCACACCATGTGGTCTCCACGAATCTACAAGATCGTTCGACAGTGTTGAAACAAACTGTTCAGACAACTGTGGAGCGTCTCATAAGCCACTGTGCTTATGCTGGATCTGCAATCAACAAAAGATCTGCCGACTGATGTCGTGTCACTGTCACTGGAGACAGAGCGTGAAACCCACGACCTGATCTGATCTGTGTACCCGTGTCCGTGTGTGCAGGTCACGTTCCAGCGGCCGAACCCGGCGACGCTGCAGGCGTCGTTCACGGGCACGCTGCGCAGCCGCGTGGAGGGCCCCGGCGGCGCGAGCGTGCTGGTGGCGCTGTACGAGAGCGGGCTGGTGACCGATTGCGGGTGCGGCGAGAACAAGGGCAAGTCGCTGCTGAACGACCACGTGGTGCGGCGCCTCGAGAAGGTGGCCGCCGTGCGGGAGGGCGCCTCGGCGAAGAAGACCGTGTCCGGCACCGTCCAGTTCCCGCTCTGGGACGGATTCCGCGCCACCAAGTGCGGCCTCGTGCTCGTCGTCCAGAACGCCGCGCTGCAGGTGCTCGGCGTCCAGCACTTCGACCTGCCCGACAACGTCTGACTCTCAGTTGGTGACGGCGGTGGGGTGCGCGCGCGTTGCGCCGGCTCGAGTGTTGGCTCCTTCGGCGGCGCCGGCGTCGTGACATTCTGTATGTAGTACATCACTGGATGGTATTTAGAAGGAAACCTGAGTATTCTTTTCCATATATGATTCCATATATGTTCTGCATTATGGTAATGGATTTTCTGTTTTCTACTTTCTTTTCGTCAGCTTTGATCGCCTACTTTTACGCTGATCGCCTGATCCATATATGCATGTGCCTAGCTGTTCATGCGAAGCTGCCGTTGTGAATGGACAATGGAGTGGAATTTTTTTTTGAAATAGTAATATTTTAATAAATAATTGCAGAACTAAGAGCTAAAATGAAAAAATATGGATATAGGATCCTGTCGGCTTCTCAATGGCCGACATCCACCTGGACCTAAGTAGCGCCGACAGACTTATCGGCTAATTGGACGCCGATTGGAAATATCCGCCACCCACCGGCCGATAAGAACCATGTGTCAGAAGCCGCCATGAGTAGTAAGGCCCCGTTTTTGCCGGACTGTTTTGATATTTTATTTTTAAAAAAATTACAAATAAAGTATCGACCTCTAAAAATATTGTCAATTTAGATGTTAAAAAGCAAATGCAACACATTTTACATGGATATATCATTAATTTCATAATTTTAAAATTAAAATTCCTCCTATAATCCTATATTTGAATTTTTGGTTAAACTGTTTGTGTTTGATTAATCAAAGAAATTGTTGCAGAGAATTTTCTATTTGATAACCTCGGATTGATTGAGCAAGAGAAAATATTATTCTCTTTCATGATAAAACACTACTCCCTAAACCATCACTAGTAGAGAAACGACCTTTCGTCGATGGTCAAAAAGAATTTATAGTCCCAGTTTAAAATTGCAACCGAGACTAAAGGGAAACCTAAGATGGCAACACATACAAGGGCCGAAGTGGGAGATCTTGAGTTCGAATCTTCACAACCCTAACTTTTTTTTACTCAGCCCACACCTTTAGTTCTGCTTATAGGAACCGACACCTTTAGTCCCGGTTCAACTTTTTTTTACTCGGCACACACCTTTAGTCTTGGTTATAGGGACCGACACCTTTATTCCCGGTTATAGAAACCGGGACTAAAAATCGAGACCTTTAGTCCCGATTACATAGTCCCTGTTCAAAAACCGAGACTCAAGGGGTTAGAAACCAGGACTGAAGGCAATTTCTCCCGTAGTGCATTAATTTAGATTTTATTTTATTGTAGAGACCGTTTTAGGGCTAAATAACTTACACAAAAACTTAAATATGATGTTATTCAAAGATTTTAATTTGAAAAGGCAATGATGCTAAATCCAAGACAGATACGAAAGTCTCGCGACTCGCCCTCGTGTCTCGCGAGCGCTGCCGCCGCCGCCCCCTGCTTCCACCACCGCTTTATTATAGTTAGATCTGGCCATCATGAAAGGCTAGGAAAAATAAGTTTTAGATCAGTTTTCCTCATTCTTTGGTGGCAAAAATAAGAAGGAAGACACCAGAAAGAAGAAGTTTCTTATCTCTGTGTGTATGAATGTTGGTGTGGTAGAATCGGCCGAAATAGCACACATTCGGAGGCGCTTGTCTTTCACTTGACACTAAACACTTCGAAAGTAAACCACACCAGACGGTTGCGTCGAGCACACCCTAAGGGAGAACTCGAACAATCCACGTTTTTCATTCAAAATCCAATAATGAGAATAAGTTTACAATGTTTAGTCTATTTCATACAAGAAGAGTTCTCGAAAATACATTATTACAATATCACGTTCAGAGTGCGGAATTTAAACAGCAGAATTGAAATAAACATCTAACAATAAGATACAAGGATCCGTCTGTGCCCATCAGAAGAATCCTCCACACAACAGTCACTCCTCAAGCTGCACCTGCAATAGAGGTAAATTAACCCTGAGTACACAATGTACTCGCAAGACTTATCCGACTAGTGGGAATAATTTTCCAACTCCAAAGGATATGATAAGCTTTATGGTTTGCTGGATTTCCTTTCTATGAAAACATTACTTGTAGTGAATCCTTATGTATGTGTTTTATTCGCAGTCATGATTAGTTCATTAGTTAACCATTCTATGTAAGCACTTGTTCTACTTTCAAGCAAGAGTTGAGCAATCAGATTCATTCATCCTCTTTCATCTTCCAGTTCTTACTACGGTGTTATACTATAGCCAAGTCATACCGTATCACATGACGAGTCATGAATCAATATATCCCAGCTGGATACCCCGAAGCACACGTCCCGCTTGTATCCTAGGCACAAGCAAGACCAACCCATCACTCTCCTGTCAAGTGGTCTAGGTCTCCGTTCAAACTTAGACTTTAAGCCCCCACTCCTGAGTCTCGGACTCAGTGTGGTGCTTAGACCTCCACCATCTCCGCCTCCAATCAGTTGGTCCGAAAAGAGTCGGAAACCACGACAAGAGAGCAACGAGCCTTTCCGCTCCCATAAGCAAGTATGTGCTCAGGATAATAAGTGTGTGACCTGACTACCATCCATAGCAACGGACGGTCCTTAACCGATACGGACAGGGAAAACAGTGTAACCAAGCTATGCCCCGTTGGTCGTGGGACACAACATATTACACCCACCAATACCCGTACCATATCCCTGCCCCATCTATATTTCCTTTCACTATTTTATTATGAGAGTAATAATAACAATCACCTATTGTGAGTAACGACAGGTTACTCACGCTACCGGTAGCCTAAGCATAGCAACTACTCGACCTATGCTAGTAGAACTCATAGGTAGGTTTATCTATGTATGTTGTTTCAATATAAATCATGTAACGTAAATACACATCACATATATATATTCAGTGATTATTTATAATAAAGGTTATGCACCGGGGTCCGGGGCTTGCCTTGGGCAGGCAGATTGTTAGCTATGTCAGTCATCGGTGGCTCTGAGACTTCCTCCCATACGAGGACCTCCTCCTCGTACTCCTCGATCACCTCTGCGTACTCCTATTCTCCGGTGGTCATGAACTCCACCAACTCGTTCTCTACATGCATGCAACGATGATGAAACACTTAGTATTTTAGCAACAACAGCTCTTAAAATCAGAATACATCTACTACTCTACTAAGCTAACTCTAATGACTAAGGTACTAAACTAACTAGTATTTTCATCAAACAAGGTACAAATTCGTCTAACACGCATTAACTTAACAACTAAAATATATTCATGCTTCTACTAGCGATTTAACATATATTAAAACAAGGAGTATCAAACTATCCTAAAACTTAGCCTAATCTAAGGCTACAAAAATTATACTGAGCACATAATAATACCAGAAAATTAACATAAAAATTTTAGAGCTAAAGCTATTACCATTTTGCCACAAAAATTCCTACAATTATTAACCTAATAATATTAAGTATTTTCATTTGATTTAATAGACCTCAGTTTCATCATAGATATGTTTGAAATAATTATACTAACAGATAGACAAAGAATTTAAGAGCCTAACAAAATTGGTTTCACAATTTTTGGACATCTATATGAATTGTTGTTAATTATCAAAGTTCAGCTCATAAACTAAAATATAAGGCTATTTCTATTTTCTAATAAAAGGAAAAATGAATTCACCAGCGCAGCCCACAACCACGCGGACGTGGCCCGTAGGCGCGGCCTGCGCACACAGGCCGGTCCGCGGCGGGAGGGAGCCCGCGCGTGTGGCGCTTTTGCAAAAACCTCATTGCTCTTTCTAGTATTAACGTAGCTCTTATGCGCCCTGTTTCTACAGTCAGCCCTTATGCCGATAGGCCCTCGTCTTAACCCATCTTTACGCGCCCTGTTCCTACAGTCAGCCCTTATGCCGATAGGCCCTCGTCCTAACCCATCTTTACATCCGGCCGGTCCCAGACACCCCCGCGCTCGTCGGTGCAGCGTCGGCTGGCACGGGCCTGCCACACCGGCCAACCGGGAGCCCCTCCGACGCACCTAGGAGGTCGATCCTCACCTACGGGACGACACGCAACTTCGGGCAGTGGTTGGATGAGCTGGGACGCAGTAGAATGGCCTCTCCACGATGACGGGCACCCTGTGGTGGGGGCAGCCATGTTCCGGTGAGCCACGACCTTTCGGAAGTGGTAAAAACAGCTGGTGAGCACCAGTGACTCACTATGAACCTACCCGTGGCGATGGCTGGGTGAAAGGTCCTTGTTTGGTTTTGGTAATTGAGTGACAACCTAGGTGGACTAATTGTGTTTATATGAGATACACAGGTGATTAGTCCATAGGTACATGTGTGTGAGCAACATATGCCATGAAGGTGAAAATGGCTTAGAGATGTTGCAAAGCTCACACATGTGATGATGAAGGAGCTTAACGCACATGAGACATGACATTGAGTCATGTGATCAAGGTGGAGAAGATCAAGACAAGACTTGGCTTGATGGACCGGTTGCAAGCGTGAAGGGCAAGTCAAAGGCTTTGGAGTGATGGACCGCGTGGCGGTAAAGCTTGAGCAAGACTTGGCGCCGATGGACGATAGCAACGGTGAAAAGCAAGTAGAGTCAAGATCGATGAACCAATATGATCATGTGATGATATGAAGTGGATCATATCATTGTTGATCGTGTTGGTACATGTGTTGCATCGACATTGAAGGAGATGGAATGGAATGCGCAAGGCAAAGGTATAACCTAGGGCATTTCATTTCACCGGTCATAGGTGTGTAGAGAAGTTTATGACCGGGTTTAGGATAGATGGCCGTACTATCAAGAGAGGCAAACTTGTTTGCATATCGGTCATCTAGTGCCACTCGAGTGATCTAACTTTGTATTGTCGCTAGGATCGAGTGGCGTGGCAAGTTGAGTGTCTAACATCCTTTGGAAAATGATTGTGAAAATGCTAACACACATACACATGGTGGTGTACACTTGATGGTGTTGGCACATTTACAAAGGAGGTGGTGTTTGCAGGGGTGAGATGGGTTTGGGTCCCT